GATACCTGAATGGCTTTTCTAGCTGAAAGTATGCTGAACTTATTAAGATGTGAAAATAGTCCAGTTGGACCCCACGAAGGAGGTAAAACAAATAGGTGTGAACGTGTGTGTGAGCAAGTTTAGAAAAAATTCTGAACAGAAGCATGAATGTCCTTTAGGAGCAGAATATTTTGATACCTGAAATACCCCTGAAAGTATGATGTAGAATTTTCCCATTCATTTGAATGGGGCAAAACTTTCAAAATAAAGCTAAATACAGTATTTCAAAAGTATGAAGTTTAAAAAAATTCTGAATAGAAACATGAATGTCCTTGAAGAGCTGAACATTTTGATAGCTGAAACAGCTGAAAGTATGATGTAGAATTTTCCCATTCATTGGAATGAGGTGAAACTTTCCAAATAAAGCTAAATATTTCAAAGGTATAAGGTTTAGAAAAATCCTTAAGACAAGCATGAATGTCCTTGAAGAGCTGAACATTGTGCTACCTGATAGAATTTTTCCATTTATTTGAATCAAGTAAAACTTTCAAAATAAAGCTAAATATTTCAAAGGTATAAGGTTTACAAAAATACTGAAGACAAGCATGAATGTTCTTGAAGAGCTGAACATTTTGATACCTGAAATAGCTGAAACTATGCTTAAGTAGAATATTCCCATGCATTTGAATGGGGCAAGATTGTCAAAATAAAGCTAAATATTTCAAAAGTATGAAGTTTAAGCATCTGTTGCTGCTTAAAGTGCCTTAGATTTTGTGTTACTTATTTATCTGCTTTATATTTCGTTTGTGTTTTGTGGCATTCATGTGGACAGCAAAGTAAGAATTTCATTGTATAGGGAAACACGTTTCCTAACTGTGCATAGAGAGAGGGGGAGGCGAAGGGGAGAGACAGAGAGAGGAGTTATGTTGGGGCATGTCCCAACTGCGCTGCATTTTATGAACCACCAGATGGCACTCCAAGACTGTGTCATTGACTCAGCACTTTGAGCTCCCATTGACTTGTATTGCAAAATATAAAGCTGAATAGATTAAAAAGTATAAATGTTATAAAAAAGTTGAGTACAAGCAGGGATGTCCTTGAAGGGTTGAACAGATCACGACCTCAATGGCCTGTATAGCTGAAAGTATGCTGGACTTATTAAGTGCCAAAATATAGGGTGGAAGATCCCAGAATAATAATAAATAAAGAACAGGAGAGGGTGTTCGGGTATTATTTACCCAGGGACAATGAAGTGGTGGTTGCAATCAATCATTCCACATTCTTACATTCCACTGTCAGGCTGTGTTTTGGACGTGGTGGTCTGCAGCACGGGGGCGCCCCAGGGGATGGTGCTTTCCCCCTTTCTGTTCACCCTCTACACATTGAACTTCAAGTACAACTCCCACCACTGTCACCTACAAAAGTTCTCTGATGACACCACCATTGTTGGATGTGTATCGGGGGGATGAGTGGGAATACAGGGATGGTTGTTACTGACTTTGTGAAGTGGTGTGAGGAAAATCGACTGGTCCTGAACACCAGTAAGACTAAAGAGATGGTGATTGATCCCCAGTGGAAATCACCAGCACTCACTCCGGTGAGCTTTCAGGGCTCAGTCATTGAGATTGTGGATTTAAATACCTGGGGGTCCACCTCAACAACAAAATGGATTGGACTGACAACACTGATGTCCTGTACAAGAAGGGCCAGACCCTCCTCCACTTGTTGAGGAGACTGAGGTCCTTCGGTGTGTGGGGGGCACTCCTTCAGACTTTTTATGATACTGTGGTGGCATCTGCTGGTTTTTATGCTGTTGTGGGCTGGGCGGGAGGTAGCACGGTCAGGGACAGAAAGAGACTCAACAAGCTGGTTAAGAGAGCTGGGTCTGTCCTGGGCTGCCCCCTGGATTCCATCAAGGAGGTGGTGGACAGAAGGATGCTGGTAAAACTAAGATCCATCATGCATGATCCCTCCCATCCCGTGCACCACACCAGAGTAGAGGCTCTGAACAACTGTGCAATACATCACTAAAGGGATAAGCTAGGTGAAAGTATGAGGGACTATGTAATAGTCAGCTGAGGTGCAATACTCAAATTCTGGGGTAAAATGCATGGTTAATATCCACATATATAAATTCTGTTCTTGATTATTCAAATACTTGATTCTGTCTATTTTTGAGTACTTGGAATTTATTTATCCTGATGTGTGTGTGGTGCTTGTTCTCATGGTGTTATGCTGTCTGTTCTCTATTGCTGCTTGAGGTACTGAAATTTGTTTATTAAGATATGTGTTGTGTTTGTTTCTCGTGGTGTTATGTTGTTTGTTCTCCATTGCTGCTGAAACACTGAAATTTCCCCATTGAGGGATCAATAAAGTACCTACCTACAGCTTAGCTTTTGTATTGTGACCACAACAGTCTTGAATAGTTCAACAATTTACATCTGTTGATTAGTTTAGCATAAAAGTATTTGATTTTACAACCCTCATGCTTTGAGAAAGCATGCCAGGTGTGAAGAAATGTCTCCACCTCAAACATTTACATCTCTGTGCTCTCCTTGAAAGCCAACACCCCCTGGGGCTGGACAGACGCAATAACTATATGTCAGCCAGCATTGTCCTTCACATTTCACAACCTGTGACTTTGAAGAAGGGGCTGACATTGGTTATCATCCGGCTACACCTTCTGTGCAACAACCATCTGTAGAGCCTGAGGTAAGTGTGTGATGCTGTTGCAGTATACTGAATGTGAGACACTCCTGCTTTGGGAGAGAGAGAAACTAGGTGCTAAGTATAATTTCTTATATTTTCATTATTCTAGGTTGCGGCCAGCACCAGGCAATAGAAGCACTGTGGAGTGAAGGACAGAAAAACACAATATTGTTAGAAATTAACCCAATTCTTTGGAAGCACGAGAAGTGAAAACAGGAGAGGACTGTTTAAAATCAGCAGGATGTTTACTCAAAGTCTGGGCACAGTGACGTCATTACAGCGCTGAGATCAGAGAGACAGAGCTCCCGCAGGAGATCCGACTTCTGAACCCTGAATTAAGTTTTTACAATACATTGTATCCTCTTGGGCTGCTCCGCCCTGGACAGGGGTGCAACCTTCAATAGTTCGTGATCCTATTGGTTATTTGGTGTGAGTAGGTCAACCCCTGCGCTTGCTTGCTGATATGTGATCTAGACCAGGTGTGTGTGTGTGTGTGTGTGTGTGTGTGTGTGCATGCGTGTCTCCGGCACCCTGATCTTGATATCAAGGTGCACTGATCAATGGGTGGCCTGAGTTGCAGGCCCCCTTTGTGTGTGATGCCTATAAGTATGTTAAACTGGCCAGGTGGTCATCTCAGGTTGTAGCCCCCGGCCTCTGCAGGACATCCCAAGACAAAGCAGAATCTTGGAATATGCTAAGTGGGTCTACTGTGGGTGTAAAACATTTGCTAAAATGTAAATATGCTGTCTGGTCACAAGGAAATGCAGACGTCCTGTCTCTACACAGAAGTTACAGCATTCAAAGTAAGCAGATTCTACTTCATTACAGTTGTAAGATATATAAGCAAGGGAAATAAATGTATTAAAAATAACCAAAGCTCAGTAGTTCTGGACAATTATCAATACAGCTGTAATATGTATAGACAAGGAAAATAAAGTTATGAAAGGTAACTAAAGGGAACTACAGGTATGAGAAGTAACTAAAGCTGATAAAGTAACTATAGTCTATAAGACTCAAATCTTACAATATACATTCATCAAGTGCAAGACATACATATGTAATGTGATGTACAGTATCGGTTTGTGTATGCCAAAGAAAGGCAAGAATGTTGTTCTGATGAGTACACTGCACAGGGATGGGAAAATCTGTGGCCAAAAACCACAGATCATGTGATGTATAGGTTTGCCTGTGTTCAATGGGGCTGTGTTGTGTAGACCAAAATGGTTACTGTGTTCAGCTTGTGCTGTGCACAATGTTTGAAATGTCCTGAGTGTTTGAAATTACTGAGGTTCAAATAAAAACTAGTAGTTGTGAAAAATCTTGCTTCATTTGTAAATTTTTTTTTTTTTCAATCGTCTTAACAAAATATTTGCATAATACAGTTGAGTAATGTAATCTAACAAGCACCGTGTCCACAGGTCTTGTGTTGTCGGGCAGATGTTCAGTGTCAGGCGGTGTCCACCACACGACAGTACAAAAAAATTTAAAAAGTTGCTAGGTAACAAGTAGCCTGCACTAATAATGTATTTTCTAACTGGTTACAATAAGGCTTTTACTGCTCACAAACAGCCACTGGAGTGAGAAAACTGTAGGCAGTGGAAAAATGCAAAATGTCTCGTGAACGAGTGAACGTTAAAACAGTCTCCACGGCTCCCAAACAGCCCCTCCCCAGTGGGAGAAATTGTTAGCTAGCTAACATGTGGCTAACAGATAAGAATGTTAGCCAAACTAGTAAATGTTAAAACAAAGTTTTCACCGCTCTCAATGTTAAAACAAACCTTCCAATTAGTCACCAGCAATGACTCCAATCCATATTACAGTTACACAGAAAATTGCCTTGTATGACTCCTTCGCAGGTATCAGCGGGAGGTGCGGCACTTGTTCACAAAGCTTGTGATAAATAAAAGATGAGGTGATTTGTTTGTTTCTGCCACAAACTTTTTGTTTGAACATGAAGTTCATTAGAGCTGCTCAGTGGGTCAGCATTTTATGGATCGTTATAGGGGGTCCAGCCCTATGACTGTATTAATCAAAATCTGTAAGATGCTGTGGCTATTTTGAAAACATATATTTGTGTAGAAGTGTGGCTGCATTTGAGGAGCTGAAATTAAGACTTAGGTACCTAAGTAGTGATATAATTCACTTTTCCTGCCAGTTAGATGTGTGTTAATTTAAGTATGTTTATTTGCTATTTTATAATGCCACACGCAGATTTTGTATGTATGCATTGTACTAATGCATTTAATTTTGTCTCCCCCTGTTTCTTTGTCTATCATTCCCCTTGTTCTTCCATCTGTTCTTGATTGCTCCAGGTGTGCATCGTGCAAAAAAGGGACACTGAGAAGATGTACGCCATGAAGTACATGAACAAACACCAATGCATAGAGAGAGATGAGGTCCGAAATGTCTTTAGAGAGCTTGAGATCCTACAGGAAATTGAACATGTTTTTTTAGTAAATCTCTGGTGATTATCCTATGTTTTTTACATTTTCAATGTGGTCTGCTCTGCCTGTGTCAGTTGCCTGCTTTGTCTGTCTATGCATTTTGTATATTTACCTTAAGAGATTCCTGACAGAGAAGTGCATGCTCACTCCAAGATGTATTTCATCCCTAAAATAGATGTACTCTTTGTGAATAATGTTCCTAGTGTTAATTTTATTAGTTTAATTAAGGCTTGAAACTAATTTTTCTCTAAAAACCAGCAGCTATTATCTTAAGAAACAATTTGTACAGTGAGATACAGTATTTTGGGATATTAAATTTTGACTCTGAGCCAATTAAGCACAAATTTGATAATTAATGTGGTTTAAAATGGCCTTACTCTTCCCTGGAGTCTGATATGTGGGTGAATGGAAGCTGCTTTCATTATTCAATGCTCATCTCCAATCGGGACACATTTCTAAATGTAATTGGGGACCTGGCATGGCATTCACAGCATGTTACGCAAAGCACTTTACTCAGTAATTGGTAGAATGATATTGCACGTGACTTCTCTAAGCAGTGCCCAAATATTTAGTTATTCAGAATCAGAATCTGCTTTATTGGCCAGGTGTGTCAGACACATGAGGAATTTGACTTTGGTACATCGGCTCTCAATGTGTATGTACAATATCCCCATGCAAGGGGCAAGTAAACAGTAAACCAACATAAGGCTGTGTAATATAACAAAATAAGCAGTATTAACAAGCAACAAACAGGGCAAACAATACAAAATAAGCAGTATAAACAGGCCAGAAATAATGCAGACAGACAAAGGAATGCTCATTGTGAAATGAGATTGTAGTGGTTAAAAACAAACAAGGTACCAGTCCAGAGGTAATACGTAATAGAATAGTATGTAGTTCATATATAGATATTATTTGTAATAGTTATGTAAGGGTGAGCTAAGTGTTTATGTAAGCTTGATCTGTTTTCTCTTTTGCTCAAGCAAGAATATCTTGGGCTGTGTCCCCCTTGTTTAATTTATGGGTAAACATCCAGAGCGACTTCCTCCTTAAATGGGGAATGGACATAGCTTCAGCCTTATGTGAATGATTCGTGTGCTCTGTTCATGTTTAGAAAAAGGAAATGTGCGTTAGGTCAGTGCGACCTAGAAGTTAATGTACTGGACATCTTGGACAATGCTCGGAAGAAGGGGTGTGGAACTGGCATGAGACTGTGCCTCTGGCTCAGGCCATAGAAGGCTGTGTAACTGCGAGAAGATAAAGGCTGGAATAGCTGTGGGTTCAGAAAGAAGAAGAAGGAAGGATGGTGGGGCAGGCATGAGAGTGAGCTTAGACCCAGCTGGGGGGACTACGGACTCTGACTGACTGGACCCGGTGACCAAGACTGACTGCCGCTGTGATAATCTTCTTATTTAATACTGTACCTATCCCATTGCAGGAGGAGTGATTCTGTTCTCTGTTTCCTAACTACCAGATTACTTAGTTAACTACTACTCTGTTTAGAATAATTGTAATATTAAACGTTTCCTTAAATTGGGATGATTTGTCTGAATTAATTTAGTTGGTATCACATTCTAGCCACAACAAGATAAAATGGAATAAAAATAGAGTGCTTAAAAATAGAAACCTGTACAGGCCTGTATAATCTCTACACTGTATATTTACAGGTATTGCACTGAGGGTTGTTGTCCAGTCATATTGTCATACTGGTGTGGGTCAGGTGTTCATCAGAGTGACAGCCCAGGGGAAGAAACTCTTCTTGTGCCTGGTTGTCTTGGCGCACAGTGACCTGTAATGCCATCCAGAGGGGAGGAGTCCAAACAGATTATGTCCCGGGTGTGAGGGGTCTGCAGTGATCCTCTCCGCTCTCCTTTTGACCCATGAGGTGTACAGGTCCTCCATGGAGGGAAGGCTCACACCAATGACCTTTTCTGCAGTCCTTACTTTCCACTGAAGTCTGTACTTGTCCTGTTTAGTTGCTGAGCCAAACCAGACAGTGATGGAGGTGCAGAGGACAGACTTGATGATTCCTTTGTACAACTGTATCAGCGGCTCCTGGGGCAAGCCAAACTTCCTGAGCTGGCCCAGGAAGTACATCCTCTGCTGTGCCTTCTTGATGATGGTCCTGATGTTGGACATCCAATTGATGTTGGCCTGGGAGATAGTGGAGCCCAGGAACTTGTAGGCCTTTACTGTTGATACAGTTGTGCCAAGTATGGTGAGGGAGTAAGGTGGAGGGGCTCTTCCTGAAGTCCACTATCATCTCCACTGTTTTGAGCGTGTTCAGCTCCAGGTTGTTGCGGCTATTCCATTGGTCCAGCTGCTCAACCTCCCGTCTGTAGGCTGACTCGTCGCTGTCTCGGATGAGGCCAATGATCGTATCATCAGCAAACTTTAGGAGCTTGACAGAGAGGCCCTTCGAGATGCAATCGTTGGTGTAGAGTGAAAACAGCAGAGGGGAGAGTACACATCCCTCGGGGGGGCACCTGTGCTTATTGTCCAGGTGCTGGATGTGGTTTTCCCCAGTCTCACCTGCTGCTTCCTGTCTGTCAGAAAGCTAGTAATCCACTGACAGGTGGGGGCAGGCACAGTTAGCTGGGTCAGTTTGGAGTGGAGGATGTCCGGGATGATGGTGTTGAATGCCAAGCTGAAGTCCACAAAGAGGGCCTGTGCATAGGTCCCTGGGGAGTCGAGGTGTTGCAGGATGTAATGCAATGTCATGTTCACTGCATCGTCCACTGACCTGTTTGCCCGGTAGGCAAACTGCAGGGGGTCCAGCAGGGGGTCTACGATGTCCTTCAGGTGGGCCGACACCAGTCTTTCAAAGCACTTCATAACTGAGTCAAAGGACTTCATAACTACAGATGTCAGGGTGACAGGTCTGTAGTCATTCAGTCCACTGATGGGGGTTTTCTTGGGGACTAGGATCATAGTAGAGCATTTGAAGCAGGAGGGGACCTCACATAGCTCCAGTGACCTATTGAAGATGAATGTGAAGATGGGGGCCAGCTGACCAGCACACATTTTCAGGCAGGAGGGGGTCACGCCATCTGGGACCTATGCACAGGTCTTCTTTGTGGACTCCTTTGTTTTTTAAAGAGGCCACACACATTCTTTTCACAAATCGTTAGAGGTGGGGGGCTGTAGGGAAGGGTGGTGATTGTCGGGGGAGCAGCAGTTATTCACGTGGCTCATGATGAATTAATTATGTGCAGATAGTGAGTAGATGATTCAAGACAAAGTCATGTCCTAGGCTCATTGCCTCATCGAGGCGTGAATGATTTACATTTAATTGACAGGATACTTTCTGTCTGTTAGAGAAACCACTCTGCAAGAACAAACAGAGCATTCTAATAAGCGTACAGTAGTAGGCTTGTGTATTTTCCTCCCTGCAGGAGTGCATGACTGCCAAAGCCTTCTCAAGATTCAAGATTTTTATTTGCCATTTATGCATAAGGTAGGTGGGTAGGTACTTTATTGATCCCTCAATGGGGAAATTTCAGTGTTTCAGCAGCAATGGAGAACAAACAACATAACACCATGAGAAACAAACACCACACACATATCTTGATAAACAGGTAGTCTAGGCATATAGGAATTCTTGTGCAGCTTGTCTTTGGAGTCAGGTAAGGAGTCAAAAGCTAGAAAAAACAGTCTTCAAATAGAAAAGTTACAAAAGGGCGACAAAATATTAAAACACAATACACAAAAATAGGGTAACAGTATTTCCCACAGTGAAATTCAAACATCACACTTAGTAATTCATATGGTGGAGTTGGATATGACATTACGCTTGGTGAGGGAGTGAGGGATTATTGCACATATATTCTCACATTTTCTTATTTGCCATCAGTCTTACTGCAGCAAGGAAAAAGCTGTTATAAAGTCTTGTTCTGTGTGTGATGATACTGTCCGCCCTGCTGTGCCTGAGGCTATTGGTGCAGGTTTTGTGTCTGAGCAGAGCCGGGTGGCGTGGATCCCTGATTATGTTCTCTGCCCTTTTATGACAGCGCTGTGTGTGTATAGTGTGTTCATAGCAGGCAGTTTGGTCCCAATGATCCTCTCTGCAGTCTGTATGACTCTCGGAAGAACCTTCCTCTCTGCCGGTGTGGTGTTACCATACCAGACTGTGATGCCAGTAGTGAGGATGCTCTCTACCAGCCCTCTATAAGCCTGGGTGAGAGGGCAACGGTTTAGCCCAGCTTTTCTGAGCCGCCTAATGAAGTATAGCCGCTGCTGGGCTTTCTTCACTGTGTTCAGTGACCAGCTCAGGTCAGATGTCACCTGCAGGCCCAAGAACTTGTGGCTGTCAGCCCTCTCCACCTCAGTCCCTTTGATGGTCAGAGGCACCAGAGGTGAGGGGTTCTTCCTGAAGTCTACTATTATTTCTTTTGTCTTGTTTATGTTGAGGATGAGGTCATTCTCTCCTCCATAAATAAGAATGTCATTCACCAAGCTTCTGTAACCCGACTCGTCTCCCCCCTTGATGAGGCCCAAAATGGTGGTGTCATCAGCATATTTAATGATGATCATGTTGTCATCGTTGGAGACACAGCTGTGGGTGTACAGGGTGAAGAGTTTGGGGCTGAGACAATAGCCCTGCGGTGAGCCTGTGCTGACTGTGAGCTCAGCAGACACCCGCCCTCCCATTCTGACCACCTGTGGTCTTTCAGTCAGGAAGTCCAGAATCCAGTTACAGGTGGGAGTTGGGACACTGAGGTCTGTCATCTTTCCAATCAGCCTGCCTGGGCGAATGGTGTTGAATGCAGAACTGTAATCCAGGAAGAGCATCTCAGCATACGTACTGCTGTTGTCCAGGTGTTTCAGGGTATGAAATAAAGCCAGAGCCGTCGCATCATCCACTGATCTGTTGGGGCAGTAGACAGACTGGAGGGGGGTCTACAGTGTTCAGGACCATGTGGTTAACGTGTGTGAGGACCAGTTTCTCTAAGCACTTCATGGCAACTGATGTGAGCACCACTGGCCTGAAGTCATTCAGAGTGGATGTGTCTCATGTCTT